GGATGAAATCAGAGAGCTTATTTTATCTCTCTATTGGCTGGGCCCCAGCTTCCTGAACACTTAAGAACCTGAGCCTTTCAAATTCATGGACCCATCAACTAAAAATATGATGCTTCACACAGTCTAAAAAAGATTCCAATTTAGACCAAAAAGAAGTAATTCAACCAAAAAGAGTGTCCTTTTCTATGTTCCTTCCCATGAAACTACTTAATCAGCATCCCCCACCCCTTTTCTGCCATGGTTATAGAGTAATGCAAAATAAAGATTTTTACATTTTACTTTGCTAGAACATAATCTTTTCTAGCTTTTAGTGTCCTCCTACACACTTAACAGATTGTGATTTATCTCTCAGAGAAGCATACATCCTACCCTTTAGCTCTCTAAGGGAAAGAAGCTCACTGGGAATTAATAGAAAACAAGCCCAACTCCTTACCTACGCATCAGGTGTCACAAAGCACAAAGCTCTCCTGAGCCAAGAAAAAAATCCTGTCATGAAGAGGATAATTGCTTCCGCATTTAACACCCCCAGAAAGGACATAAATAGCTAAAAGGAGGATATTTTAAAATTATATTAAATCATTCTAGTAGAAAACCTCAAACTTGTAAAAAGTGCTAGAAAAAGTGAAGATCAATTAAATATCATTTGCCTTTGAGAGTCCATTTAGCTCACACAGGGTGAGTGAAAACTTCTTCCCTGCAGCTCTGAGGGGGGAGAGGTGACATCATCCGGATGGAAGGAAGTTAACTGGGCTTTGTAAAATGAGTTAAATAATTAAGATGATTTTAAAAGACCTTGTGTTTGCCAAGAACTTTTCTTTTGGAGGAACTGAGGAGCATTGAGTCTTGATATTAGAACACAAACAGCCTTCTTGGCAGTGGTCACTTCTGTCCTAGGTCTTCTATTTTCCACATTTCTCTTCTTCCATCTGCTCAGCGTGACACCTCTTAATCTATTGTCCATGTCAATGGATCTTTGTTTCACTACTAAAAGGCAGGATTTCTTATTTGGCATCTCTTCTCCATCTTTCATTTCTCCACTTAGCTATGCTTTAGCTGAATTTTTATATTTAGTATCAGATTGGGAGAAATGTGATGTTTAAATCATTGTGCATTATAATTCAAATAACACAGAGGTTTGAGAGTCAAGTTAGTTCAAATTAGTGATTCAACCCTTCTGATGACATCAAGACTTGACTAAGCTTGTAGTTCACAGAGACTCATGAGAAGAAAAAATTGAGGATCCATATAACACCTAAACCATGAGTCTCTACCACACATGCAGGACTTAACTTCTCTTTGCACAGCTTAGGAAGTCACAAACATAACACCAGCCCTCATTCTTTTGGGTGACAAAATTTATTTGTCTCTCTCAATATTCTCCCATGGAAGTAGCAGACTTTAAAATATCTATAAGTATATTTACTGATGTAACTAAAATATCCACAAGAAAAAAAATAGTGTAATATTAATTTTACAGCAGTTCTCGTGGTTAGGATTTGGTAGGATCTCTATAAATGTTGAATTGATAAGAATGAATCCAATTCACCAGGAGAAACCTATTTACATATCCTGTTGGGGAAAATCTATTTGGGGAGCTGCATGGCTGAATGTAAGTACATGTATTCAAGGGGGCAGAACTCTCCCCATCCTACTAAGTTCCTCACCGAAAGCCTTACTTAGAGCTTTATAGCAACAGCATTCACCATGTGAATTGGTGTGTGCGTGCATGAGTGTGCATGAGAAGGGGGGAGGAGAGAGAAAGAGAGAGAGAATGTGGATGGTTATTTTATTCAGTTAAGGCTATGCAAAGGCAATTTTTATGACAGTGATCACACATTGACTGATCTCAAAATATCTGCAAATTTAGCTCATGTATAATAATCAAATGATGAACCAAACATTGCTACCAAAAGAACATAGAGCCTACACTCCAAAGGAGAATACAAGTATTATCTTCACAGTTGTAACACTGAAAGAAACACACATTCATACAATCTCTGTGCACAAGCACACACTGCATATATGTAAGGGCTCCTATGCTTCTCTCCCTACCCTGATTCCTGCCAGCTTCACTTGATATTTGTGTGTGGCTGGACTCTGGATGCATCAACCTGGAACTTTGGGAACACAGCCACAAAGATGGCAATACCCTGAGGCACTGTAACCTCCTGCAGAAAGCAAAAGCCTTACGCTAAATATGGTGACTAGTTTTCCACACTGTAGCAGCCAGTTGTCTAGAATTCAGATTGACAACTTGTGGCAATTCCTGGAAAGAACAAGGGTGTGAAGAACAGCCTGATTTCTTATGTCCACCTCATACTCTGCTAGAATATTCTTGTAGAAGTCACCAATCATCTCTATTTTTGTGGAAATTTACCTGAAGGATGAAAAAAATAATACCAGAAATACATGCGTTCCTATGCTCATTGCAGCACTGTTTTAATTCTTTACAACAGCCACGTTATGGAAACAACTTAAGTACCCAAATGACAGATTAGTGGATTAAGATGTGATATATATACATGATGGGATACTACTCAACTACAAAAAAGACAAACTCTTGCTCTTTGTGACAACATGGATGGAACTGGAGGGGATTATGTTAAGTGAAATAAGTCAAGAGGAAAAAGACAAATACTGCATAATTTCATTCATATGTGGAATATAGAGAAACAAAACATTGCAAAAAATAAAACAAAATTAAAATAAACCCTAGAAATAATATTGCATAACTGAGATTACTAGAGGGGGAGGGAGGGTGTAGAAAACAAAGTGGGGAGGGAGTGCAATGATCTATATGGTAAAGAACTATGGGTGATTTGGAGGGGGTGTGGTGTGGTGACATATATCAAAGGAGGCGTGAACCTATTCCCCTAAATCAAATACGTTGTCAGGAAACCAATGTTATTGCAATAAAAATAGCTAAATATTCATTATCAAATTAAAAAAATTAATGGTCGAATCAAACTGGGCTCCTGAATAACTTTCTGGATTGGTGCATTCCCCAACACACACATCTTCCCTGCATCTCAATTTTCCTTGTCAGTAATAATAACTATAGTAATAATAATGATAACTGTCATTTAAGGAGTGCTTCCTATGTACCAAGTACTCTGCTAAATTGACATTTGTCTCCTTTAATTCTCTTGACAATCATTGACAGAAGACACTGTTATCCTCACCTTACCAATGAAAAACCATTGGTGGTGAGGTAGTGTAAATAACTTGCTCATAGGCATAAAGTTATTAAGTGGCAGAACTCAGATTCAAATTCAGTGTAGAGTGATTCCAAGATCTACCAGCTCCACCACTGTTCAAAACTGCCTTCAAAATTACATCAATCTTGTTAGTATGGTACACCAGGCCCTTAAAAATTCAGCCCAAATCAACCTCTTCATGTTCATTCCTGCCTCTTACATTCTACTAACTAGACCCTTTGGACTTGCTCCCATTCCTCAAATTCTTTGCCATTTCTACAATAAAATTATTTGCCCAGTATGGTGATTAGCATAAGACTGGTACTCAAATTCTTTTAATTTCCCTCTTCTACCCCTCTATGCCTCCTACCCACATACATTCTGTTTCCTCTGCCTGCAATTTTCTTTCTCCAATGTCCAGCACATTCTGAACAATTTTTCTAAAGTCATTTGGTTAATTAGACCTTGATGTGAAAAAATCAATTGGAATATTTCCTCTCCTGTCATTACTTTTAATCACTGAAAAGGCCTTAGCTGTGTTTACAATTTAATACAGTGACAAAGTTTAAATGATAGCTAGATTAGAACTTTCTAAGGGAAGGCATCATCCAACAGAAATTAGAATGAGAAGGGACTTATATTTTATTACCTTTATAATATTTCTGATTTTTATGAAGTGTCACTATAATTTCAGACTGAAGAGAAGTAGGGAAGAAAGAGAAGGAGATACAGAAAGAAAAGGAAATGAACAGAAAGGAATAGCCAGGAAAGAGAAGAAGAGAGAGAAAGAAAAGAGTTCAGAGTTCATACTCTCAATTTATAATGATCATTAAAGTTTATTTTGTATTAAAATAGAAACATTTCTACCATGTTTAGTTCCATGTTTCTTAGAGCTCCCTGGTCTCACTCAGTCTATTACTGAACTCTGATCTGGCAAACTCAACAAATCAATGGAAGACAGCCTTAGGAATTTTTAAATTTCAATCAGTGTTAGTAAGGTCTATATTTTATATATGACCCACAGTTAATTTTTAAATTTCATGGTAAATAGAAAGAATGATATAATTGTTATTGCTCTTTTATTTTTTTTTAAGATTTATTTATTTATTTATTTATTTATACAAGCACTGGGTACAGTCAGAAGCAAGGGAGGTGAGAGAATTCACCAGAGTCAGAGCGGGGAGCAGAGCAGGCAGAAGGACCGAAGTACACTGCTGAGGGGAGCAGCGGGTGGCAGGAGAGGTCTGCGCGCCATGTGGGACCCTCCTCCGGTGGCCGGGGAGCAGCCTGGGATCAAAGCTGGCAGCTTCGCAACCCAGCACTCAACCGCTACACCACTGGGAAGGCCCTGTTATTGCTCTTTTAAATGAGGCTCAGTTCCTAATAATTGTAATTATAAAGGTGGTTTTATTATTATGCAAATAAAATGTCAGAACTTGATTGTTGTTTACTAGATATTTTTATAAAAATTATTATAATTATAATTATATGTAAAAAGCACTGGTCAGAAAATTCAGAGATTTGGGTTCTTATCAACCTTCTTTTTTTTCCTTCACCTCAAAATCAGGTAATGAAAATTATCTGCTTCATTCAGCCCTCAAATTTGTTGTAAAAGGTATCATATTGTTTTATTTTTATATTTTTAAGATAAAAAATAAGTCCTTCTTCAATGTAACCTAAAGGTACACCGTTCACTGCCACCTCAGATTGAAAAGGCCTCAAAATTCGCTATGGTTTCTCTCAGTGTTAATAAACAGAGTTGTTGAGAAGAAAAAGTCAGAGAAATGAAAAATATTTTCTTACCACTCCTCATCTGCTCAACCTCACAGAAGTGCGTTCCAGTGGCAGTGTGAATAAATGCATGCACATGTTTAACCCCATTCTGAAAATCAGAAAAAAAATCATTTCCAGTAAACTCTCAGCATATGTCATAAAGCCAATTTTGTTCATTAAACTTAGAGCACAAATAAGTGGGGTAACCTTTTCAAAACGTTTCCAAGGGACTTCTTCCACGTAGACTTGAGCTCGGGTGACATGGTTAAAAGAAGAAAGGAAATGCTCACAGATATTCATAGCAAAGACTTCTATGCTTTTGATCTAGAAAAAAAAGAAAACACTAGTGAGCAAAAAAACTTGCTCCATTTAAAAATAAAATTTAAAAATAGAGTAGATTAGAGGTTGCCTGGAACTGGGGGGAAGTGGGGGAGAGGAATGAGCAGTTTTTGCTTAATGGTTACAGAATACCTGTTGGAGTGACGAAAATGTTTTATAAATAGATAGTGGTGATGAGTTACACAACATAGTGAAAGTAATTAAGGCCACTGAACGGTACATGCAACCATGGCTAAAATGGTAAATTTCATGTGATATATGTTTTGCCACAGCTTATTAAAATTAATTATGTAATATACCAAACCCACCGAATTATATACTTTAAGTGGGTGAATTTCATGGTTTGTGAAGTATCTTAATAAAGCTGTTTAAAAATAATAAATAAATAAATAATAAAAATAAAATTTAAATACCCATGGAACTCTCTTTCTCGATCAAGTGCTTTTTAGAATCAGAGAAACACAGAAAGAATCTTGAGAGAGGAATGTATTGGTCCTTATGCCAGTTTTTTTTTTTAAATAATAAATTTTATTTTTATATTCCCCTATACAATTGCAAATGCCCCATTCTGACCCTTATGCCAGTTTTTCATCAGAGTTTCTAAGTGTAGTAAATAGATCACCATCACCAGGCTAGGCTCTATCCTGATTTTCAAAGAAGCCCGTTTTGCAAAGAGGATGTGTTCATCAATGGATGAACTAAAAAGTAACTTAACATTCAGATTCTCCTCCCAGCAAGCTAGACATCACCAATACCAAGACAGTATTATAATATACTCCACAATTCTAGGGTCTCTTTATCAAGTCAGCAAACAGGCATCATAGTTTCTTAAGGAAAAGTGTAAATTAAGGGTCCTGAAGTTTCCTTGTCTTGTATACTGGCATTCTATTGACCATCCCTACCTCTCCATCTCACAAAGCAACTTTTCATTTCCATATAAATTCCTCATATGAATCTCGAGGTCATGTTTATATGGTCCTAGCATAGCTTACAATTTATGCTTTTGCTGATAATTATGGTGGGCCATTGGACAGGTTTCCCTGGGACAGATCTGTTTATACCTGTTGCTCCAGAATAATTATTAATAGATCTGATCTCACTCTCAAAAGTGTCCTGGTTTGGATAAAAAAATTATATGGTCACTCTCTCTACAAAGAATGAATTTAAGTTGTTTATAATATCCAGGTCCGTTCCTTTTTGCTCTTTTACAGAGTGTAGACCTGTTACCAGGCTGTTTTTGACAAGGCAATACAGAAGCAATTTTCAGTTTATTTTTTTTTAAGTGATGCCTATTTCCATAGGCCTATCTTGCTTGCTGGGCAATGCTGGTTAAGCAAGAGAAAGGTTCAGGTTGGAGACAGGTCCTGCAGAAATTATATTTCAATTACCTTATTCATTTCATGCACTGAATGCAGAGTTCATACAAAAATACGAGAAAAGAAGATATCCAGTATACATTTCTTGTCTTTTTAGGCTTCTTTCACAAATAAAATTATCTGCTGGTGATCCAACAACACTTCACTTACACATAAAGAAACCTGAGGCTCAAGTGCTAAAAAAGAGATTCTATCAGCTATGAGACCCCTTTGAAGAGTACAGTTACCACCACACACAGATAGTAAGTGGTTATGGAGTTGAGAAAATCAAGAAGGCATTAAAAGTTGGGCTAATAGATTTCAAAATGTATCTTATACTAAAAATTTCTTCTGTAATAACAACAGGAAAATAAAAAGTATTTTCTTCTACATATGCTCACCATTCTAAAGGAAAAAAATTATGACTTCAAGAAATACATGACAAAAATGTATTATATTGTTTCCTGAAATCCTGTCAGGGTCTTGATTTGCCAGTGATGATAATTAAGAAACGGGATGTATAGCTGTTGAATAGGTTTCTTTGCCTAAAAGATGTTGCAGTCAGTTGAGAATGAAGAAAAGAAAACAAAGAAATGTTTTCTTTTAACATAAGTTTTTCTGTGAGGTTGCAAATGTTTGAATAGAAAAAGAATTTTTTAATGACTTAAGTGTAAAAGTGGGTTTTAAAGTTAAGGGAACTGGGCCTCCCCTGGTGGTGCAGGTAGTTGAGCGCAGCGCTGTGAAGCTGTCTGCAGCCTCTGCAGCCCGAGTTTGATTCCAGGCCAGTTACCCACATGGCACAACAGACCTCTCCTGCCACATCCGCTGCTGCCCTCAGCAGTGTATTTCGTCAGTCTGCCTGTTCTATTCCCTGCTCTGTCTCTGGTGCAGCCTCTCACCCTCCCACGCATCTGGCCTGTACCCCGGTTCTTGTATAAATAAATAAATAAATCTTTTTAAAAAATTAAGGGAACTTGAAATGAAAAAATAATATCCACATGTACAGTGAATTCTGCATCAAGACTGGCAGCATCTTAGGAAAAGGAAGCACATACCCCTTTTAATTTTGCCAAAACATGTACTGTGTTCTTGATGGTGTCTGTCGGGATGATATCTGAATTATCTCCATGCAGGTAATCTTTTTTGGAGGCCAGTGTGAGTTGCACTGAAGTTGCCACCTCTTTAATGGTGTGATATTTTCCATCTCGTCGAATGTGGAGAACTTTTACCATGTCCTTCCCATAGCCAGTTCGAACAAACTCCACCTCATCATTCTATAAAGAGAACATAATCATCTCATTGAGGAAAGAGAAATGAAAGAAAAACGTCAGCTTCTTTAAACCTTAATTTTCGCTGTAATTATAAAAAGTTAGACAGAGTATTAGTGACAGCAAGATCATGCCCCACCTTTGAAGAAAAATGGGGACTTGTATGGAGAAAGGAGAATCCCCCAAAAAAGATGAAAATATATCAGATTGGTCTAAAATCAGACAGACAGATGACTTTCTTAATAACAAAAGCAACAGTACCTCCTCTGTCAAATAGATCTGTGAAACAGATCTGTGAAATAGATCTGTGAAATATGATTAAATAGATAGATCTGTGAAATAGATAGATCTGTGAAATATGATTTCCATTTTGCAGAAAGAGAAACTGAGGTGCAAAATGACTTCCCTTTCTTCTCATAGCTAGTACAGGATGAAGCCCGGATTCACACCCTGGTCTGCTGACTGCAAATTGTGTATTCCTACTCACTATATAAACTGCCTTTCTTCTATAACTTTTTTTAAACTATGTTAACTAGAAATGATTATATTCCCTTTTTTATAGAGAGTGATATTCTGGAGAAAAGGTCCTGTGATCAATAGAAACAATTTAAAAATTGCTGTTTCTCTCTGCTGCTGGGAAGAAGAGTAATTAGTGACTGGGTCCAGATTACCTTCAGGAGTGCAGAGCTAGGGCCATCTGGCTGCCGAGAAAGCTATGCTTTTAGCAGAGAGACACTTAATAAAAGCCTGATGATTGATTCATTAGTGCCCTTGTCTGAAGCTAGAGCCTTCACTAGTGAAAATGTCCTCCCTGCAACTAGGATCTGTGAGAACGGCCCCTGGGCTTTATTGGTGTTTGAGAGGAGAGGTAGGAGGAAACAGGGACAGAAAACCTATTTTACTTAGCATGGAAATTGAACATTAAAATGGTAATGGAAAAAGGTGACAAAAATAAAAGCAAATCAAAAACAACATGCAGGGAGAGTCTGGGAGTGTGACAGACTTAGGTAATAAGCAGAGAGGCCAAAGGCTGCCTAACAGTGTTTTGGTAAAAAAAATCACCAGGTCCTCTGGAAGGAATTTTAAAATACTAACCAACATCAGAAGTTATTGTTTTGTTCTTAATCAAAGTGGGGGAGGGAGGCTGTCAGCCACTGGTGAGAGAAACTGGTGGTGCATGCTTCTGTTGGTGGTTGAATATATTCTGGAGGTTTGCAGTGTCTGAATTCAGTCATTCCGATATGGGAGGGACACCTTTAAAGGGCAACTCTTGGAAAGGCTCCTCAAAAGCCTGTGACCCAATCTTTAGGTCTTGATGCATCTTCAGAAAAGTGTCAATTAGAAAACCAAAAAAAGAAGACTTAAGAAAGCCTAATAAGTGCCTCCCTGGTGGCACAAGGGGTTAAGACGCAATCTATGAAGCTCTCCTCAGCCACTGCAGCATAAGTTTGATCCCCCGCCAGGGAGATACCCACATGGTGCAGCAGACCTCTCCTGACTCACCCGCTGCTCCCCTCAGCGGTGTATTCCAGTCAATCTGCCTGTTCTGTTCCCCACTCTGTCTCTGGTGAATCCTCTCACCCCCCACACCTCTCACTTGTACCCTAGTTCTTGTATGCATAAATAAATCTTAAAAAAAAGAAGAAAGCCTAATAAGCAATTCTACCCCTAGATATCTACCCAAAGAATGAAAAACACTAATTTGAAGAGATATATGCTCTCCCAAGTTCAGTGTAATACTATTTATAGTATTTTTAATAGCCAAGTGATGGAAACAACCTTAGCGCCCCAGGAAACAGGAGTAGATTAAGACGAGATATAGATGCACAACAGAATATTACTCAGTTGTTAAAAAAAAAAAAAGGCAAACTCTTGCCATTTGCAGTAACATAGATGGAACAGGAGGGGATTATGCTATGTGAAATAAGTCAGATAGAGAAAGACAATACAAGATTATTTCATTCATATGTGGAATATGGAGAAACAATACGACAAACAAAACTTAACCAAAACAAACCCTAAAGGTCTGACTATAGAATTGAGGCTACCAGAGGGGTAAAAAAGGAAGGGGCAGAAATAAAATGGGGAAGAGGCCTAGTGGCCTATGGTGGGTGGAGGACTGTGGTGGATGTGATACGGTGACAAACATCTGAGGAATAGGTGTGAACCTATTCCTAAATCATATAAAGTGTTGTAAACCAATATTATTTCAAAAACAATAGGGCTGATAGGGAAAGAGGCATCATTGGGGACCTTGAGTAAAGACTCTAAATTTTGGAGTGCAGAACACTGCTGGCAGCAGCAGGAAAACTATGTGTGTCTTGGGCAACAGGGATTCCACCTAGGAAAGGGAGAAGAATGACTGACTTGGGGCCCTTGGATGGTACAGGCTAGAACCAGGACCAAAGGTCTCTGAGATCATCCATCATTCCCAGCATACACAACTCCACAAATGTGACTCTTCAGTACACTGCCACCAGATACCCAAGTGACGGTGATTAATCCATGAACAGAAGTGGTCCGTACCTGACACAGAAAAATTAATGGTGGCCACCCTTCACAACCCCACACCTGCTCACCCCTCCCTATTTCAAACTCTGCTTCAGCTAACCTAAGCTCACTAGGTCTGTCCAACCTCGCACGCTTTCTCTACCTGCAGGCTGTTAAATTTATTATTCCTTCTTTCTTGAAACTCTTTCCTTCCTCTCTACCAGACTGTCACCCTCTTTACCTTCCTAACTTCTAGTCATCCTTCGAGTCACAGATGTCACGTCCGCTGGGTAACCTGTCCTAGCCAGTCAAGCCTGGAGTAGTAGGTGCTCAAAATTCTCCATTACGCCTTATCAGAGTCTATATTAAATTGAATTCTAATCTCCTCTTCATGAGTCTTATTCATTCCAAACTGGCAAAGTATGAAAGCAGGAAAAATTTCCATCCTAGCCATCATAGGAACCCCAGTGCACAGTGCCTGGAACATAAATAGGTGCTTGATGAATTTGTCGTCAATGAATGAAGTACCACCACTTCCACTGCTTGTGAGTGGACACGGAAGAGTTAGTTAAAATACCCAAAGATTTTGGTATTAAATCAGCCCAGACTCTATTTCAAAAGGTTCCTCTTCCTGAGAAAATGGGGGAAGATATCTTTTGCCCTGGGGTCACCACACCCTTAGAGATTATAGGCACAGCTACCCAGAGGACAGAGCTACCCAGGAAGGGCAGGATTGAGTGTAGACAGACTCAGTGCCACATGGCATGTTCATGAGGCTAAGACAGAGAACCCCAGCACAGCCACCCCAGAGTTCATGCACAGCACACAGGGGAAAGGTTAGCGCTCCTTAGCCAATTCCTGCCCAGGCGGTGACACTCTAACACAACTTGAGTTACCAAGTTTACATAGCAATGAGCAGGAATTAAAAGGACTAACCACTAGAGACTAGAGCAGGATAGAGCAAGAACAGTGTGAGGTGCCCAAGAGTCTCTCAGCAGGACCTGATGGAATAATGGTCCAGACCACAACTGCAACTGTTCCTCAATAAGGCCTCCCCAGTCTCATAATTCTTCAGAAAAATCAGAAGCAGATGCCAGATTCTTAGTGTGTCTAATGCTGAGTGTGGTGCGGGGGTCATGTCCAAGGTAACAGAACAGTGAAATGTGAAGTTTGCTCTCTTCTGGAGGGTGGGCAGGTGCTGAGAGGGTGGGCTGTGGGCTCTGGAGGCAAGCAGCCAAATGTGAATCTTTGTTCTGACACCTATTCTATGAATGGAGGCAAATTTCTCCATCTATAAAATAAGGATAATAGCATTGTCCACCCCTCAGGATTGTGGTGAGGATTACATGAGAAAAAACATTAAGTGCCTTTAAACTTTAAAAAAAGTGCCTGGGGCCTTCCTGGTGGCCTAGAGGTTAAGTCACTGTACTAGCATTGCTAAGCCTGAGTTCAATCTCCTGTCTTGTCCACTGCTCCCGTTGGCAGTGTATTTCAGTAAATTCACCTGCTCTTCTCCCCGCTGTGTCTCTGGTGAATCCTCTGAGCCCCATACCTCCAGTCTACACCCCAGTTCTTCTACACACTCAAAAAGAAGTGGCTGGCAAATAGTATGTGTTCAATAAATGTTATAATTATCTTTGATAGATATTTTACATCACAGTTACTTCCAGGTACCATTAAGAATAAATACCCAGGCTACACACCAATACAGAACCGGGATGGCTAAAATCAAAGACTGACACAGAGACACGGCCATCTCCTGCATTCATCTGTGCTTGACCTTCCTCAGACTTGAGTGGCTTGAGGAAACAAAGTCACAAATTTCCTTGAGTCATCAATTCATAAGTTCATCAACTTCCTCAAGTGAGTAACACACTGGACAAAATATCAATAAGAATAAATCTTGACCTGGCTCTACACAAAGAAAAATCCCCTTTTTTCTCAACGGTGAACTTGATACAGTATCTAGACTTGTTGATTTTCAATGATGCACACCTGAAACTTACATAATATTTAATACAGTTACTTCAATTAAAAAAAAAGTTAATTCTCCATTCCTAGACGTATCTTGACATATAAAGGGGTAAAGAAGATTATTTGCTTACAAGTAATGTTGGCGAGGACTCAGAGATTTTAAATGTATCTTCGGAATTTTTATATCTACAATGACATAGTGAGTGTTTTCTTATTTCCAGGCCATATTAAAAATGACGTAGGTTTTCACTATAAGTCTATGGGTACTTAGCCTGAAGTCTGTTAACTTCTAGAAGGCCCAGGAGGTGGACTTAAGGAGGAAAAATTACTAAGAAAAATAAGGAAAAAATTGATAAGCTTAAATATTTAAATGACTACCGTTTTCTCTTAAGTCTTAGAAAAACTTTTTAAATTAATTATTTATTTTATTATATATATATTTTAGATCGTTCTTGTACATGTATGCTTTCTCCTCTCAGGTGTTGTCCCCATGGAATTCCCACCACCAATTCCCCCATTCCCATCACCATAGTCCCTTGTGCTCTTCCCAACCCTGTTTTGATCCTTCACTCTCCTCCTTCCTACAGAATGTCTCTGATTTATAGTTGCCTGTTGATTTTGTTTTTTAATTTTTTATGATTCCCCCCGCCCCGATCCCTTATTTGTTTCCTCTACATTCCTCCTCCAAGTGAAACCATCTGATATGTTTCTTTTTCTTTCTGACTTAAAAACTACTATAAGTATGTAGGGCCCATTACACCTGTATAATACCAATTCCATTTCCGTGTGCTGCATTAGATGAAAGGCCTGGGTGAGGGGATAGTCTTTCCCTCTATATGTGTCTTTGGAATGGACCAAAGCAGTTCTTCTATTTCTCTGCTTAGTTTTTTCCTTTGCCTGACTAATTTCTTGGGCATTTGTTAGCAAAAAGACTTCAGAGAAAAATGGTAATACGAGAAAAAGAAGCACTCATATGAACAATCTTAATATCACTTTGATGGATCTTAACAATACATAATGATAGAACAATAATGATGAATAATAACCTTAGAGGCAGCTGGTATTATTTTTTTTGGCTGCCTAGGATCTACTAAATGTCAGATGGAAAAATGTTGATATCTAGTAGAAAATGTCATGTTGCTTTAGGCTGTAGTTTATTTTTGCTACCAAGGGGGGTTATGCCCTGAGGTGTTCAAAGTGTGACTCTAAAGGGATTTGTCAAGTAGGTGTTTCAAGAACAGTATAACAATTCATATGCATAATTATGGTAGAAAGAAAGGGTGACCTGTTACCTAGTGAGGACTCCATTTACAGGTTCTCAGTTACTTTCAAACCTCAGCCTATTGCCAAAGGGAAATACTAATTTTCTTGCCAGTTTCTTTACAAAAGCCTTAGGACAGGGAACCAAATAAGGCCCTCAAGTGCTTCTAGGTTTGTGACCAAGAAGCCCATAAAGAATTGATGAAGACCTCCAAAAATGTGGTTTGAAGATAATTTTATGGAAAAAAACATACATTGAAAGATGTCTCTTGTGGTGTAAATCTTGAAAATAAAAATTTATAGTAGCAACCATTTAGTGAGGTTATGAAGTTTGACAAAGGGAGACAGTGGGATTAGGTAACCTGTCAAGGTCACACAGTTAAGTGGTTACAGAGTCTGGAAGAGAATCCAAACCATATGCCCCCTAATGAGATGCTCTTTCCCACTACATCAGGGTCCTTATTCCCCAAGGATGGCCAGCTCCTCCTGCCACTCTTTGATGATAGAGAAGATTCATCCTGATCCCAACAGGAGGGGAATGGTCATGCTATTATAGAAATTTATTTCTATACCGTTTCTAAATTCACCACCCATTGGAACCTACATTACCTTTTCTATTTCTCACAACTCCCCCTAAAATTTGGCAAAACAAAATCCAATTTTAAAATAAGCTACCACAGAGATGTTAAGTGAGTTGCCCAAATTCACAAGGCTGACTGACAGGGTTTTCTGAGATTGTTGAGTTCTTAAGTATACAATCCTATAGACAGAACTTACCACACACCAAGAGATGCCCCCTTGTCCAAACCATCACTTTTTATAGCATGTCAATCATTTATAGTATTCTAATTCTTATTGGTGTCGCGTTTATAGCCAGCATGATTACACTACAAAGAAGGGGGAGAATCGAAGGGTGATTGCCCTTTAGGCAGGATGAAAGCTCCATTTCATGCCTTCAACAACAGGAAACTACATTTAAATTGAACATTGACCTTTATCTGGATAAAGACCATTGAAAACATTAGTGATGTGGGCTTATTTGTGGTCATCAGAACCATATCATCAGAAGATTGTTTTTAGTACATCTGCAAGGACAAGGAAATATCTGTGTCATGGAAGAAAAGCAAACAAGGATGGAAGGAACTATCATTTAAGCAGCACCAGATAAATGCCTGAGCTTATATATACAGAGCATCAGAATGCACTCTTTGAAGGTAGAGATCAGGAACTCCACCTTCAGAAGAGAAGTTGGTGAGCACACTCACTTGTTTCATTCCTTTCATCAAAATACTCCAAGTCCCCTCTCCTTCCTCCCATAGCAAGTACATCAACCTTTTCCTTCTCTGTTACATTGTACATTTCACTCAGTACTCCATTCATCAACAGTCTTATAAAAGTTCGAACTTAAACAGAGACATTTTATGGAATATAAACCATAACTCAAAAAACTATTGAAAACAAATGAAGCTAGCGGGCTGACTCCTGGGAGTTCTCACAGGATGACTGAATTTTCATGAATACAGCACAGATTTTGAGACTTTATTTCTATCTCAAAATGTTCTCACAGATAACTCAAAGCCCCCAATCCAAAATATTGACCGTAGCAAGGTACAGAGAGAGAGAGTTTTTGAAACAATCTATAGAAAAGTATGATTGCAGCAACTTCGAATATTGGGATTATCATGTACAAAAATCTGAAAATTAACATTTTTACAGAAATAAAAGACAAAATTGAGCACATCTTCTCAACATAGAGTATATCTTCTCTTGAGCAAGAAACAAGAAGTCAAGTAAATTTGAAAAAGAATACAACAGAACTAGAAATGCAGTAACAAGTGCTTGTAAAACAAATTAAACACAGAAAGAATTAATTATTTGGAAGAAACAGATTAAGTAATAGATTAATGTTGCCAGTGAGAGAATTAGAGAACTGAAAGATAAATTCATATAAAGAGTCAGGGATTAATGCCATATAGAATATAGAATATGTGAAAGAGATATAAAATTTAAAAGGAGGATATGATAGAGAAAATGTGGAGAAGGCACAATTTAAAGAAATCAAGACTGAGATTTTCCAATGTGGTAAACACACACACACACACACACACACACGGAATATTATTCAAAAATGAAAAAGAAGGAAACCCTACCATTTGTGACAACATGGATGGACCTTGAGTACATTATGCAAAGTGAAGTCAAATAGAGAAAGATAAAATATTGTGTTATCACTTGTATATGTAGCGTCTAAACCAACAAAACAAAGACTGAGTTCATAGATACATAGAATAGAGGCAAGAAATAAAGAGGTGGGTAAAGAGAGTCAAAAATTTCAAACTTCCAGTTACAAAATAAAATAAATCATGAGAATATCATGTAAAGCCTGGTGAATATAGTTAATAATACTCTCTGGCTTATTTGAAGTTGTTAAGAAAGCAGTCTCAAAACTTATCATCATAAGAAAAAATACCTTTGTGACTATGTAGAGGGTATGGATGTTAACTAACTGATTGTGGTAATGATTTTGAAACACAACTATCAAATCATGTTGTATACCTCAAATTAATGTAATGTTATATGTCAATTATATCTCAATTTTTAAAATTATAGTATGCTAATTAAATAAGAGGGAAGCACTAAAGCAAAAAAGAATAAAGATTGAAACTTTTAAATGAATAAATGTAAACTTTCAATCATAAAATAAGAAAACCCATTACCAAGTGAAGAACTTCTCCTTGTTCACTATACTTGGCCAAGTTACAATGAAGGAATTTTCTACTATTTTTGGAGTTAATTATGTTGAGAAGGAGACATGATATTTTCATAATATTGTATTGAAGCTTCAGAAGTGGGTGAAAACACTTTGTCCAGTTTGCTTTGTCTTCATCTAATAAGTTCACTGTTTCTTTCCACAGTATTTTGTTGTTTTTAGAAAAATAGGGACACACTGGAATCTAGGCTGGACGGTAATGTTGAAATCCCTGGAGTCCCTCAAAATTCTGGTATAATGTTCAACACCTAGTGATTTCATAAGAGACTTTATTAACTCACAATCAGCACCACCAGCAGCAACAGTGGAGATAAGAACACTATTGAATGCAGCATCTGAAAGCAAACAGCCTAACAGTGTTTTTGCAAACCTTAAAATAAAATTGATTTAGTAAAATTAGATTTAGGGGCCATCCTAATACAGAAGATGTCTGATAGTCCAACCACAGAAAGGGATCAATTGTAGTTAAAATATTCTTAGCTAACATTTTGTGGATCATTTGCTATTTTACCAGGCACTGTGTAAGCATATAACGAGGAGAAAACAGGAATTATTTTATATCCTATTCAACAAAAGATCTTTAGCTTACATAACTGAAAGGCATCAGTGAATCCAAAGCCTGGTGTATGCAGCTATTTCCATTTACTACCAAAAGGTATTATAAAATAAATAAAAATATTTTATTTCATGTTAACTTAGGAAAGTGAACATGCCATGGAACCTTTAAAATATTGATGAAAAGGTTGCAGTTGAAATCCTTTTTCCAAATGCAGTGAAAACATATATAAAACAGTACGCTACCCACAGAATGTCAGAAAAAGTATTCCTTGATTTATCAATTTGATGGACTGTGAATCTACCATATACAACACAGTCTTGGCCTCAGGTCAATTAGTCCCAATATTTAGGGTGCACGAGCATCACCAAGAAAAGCTTGTAAAAGATGGAGATTCATGAACCCAACTGGAAGGTTTGCATGAGGCTAAGAATTCCGTCACTTTTATGGACACCACAGGAAAATGTTTCTTTGTTTCTTAAGAGAAACAAAGTTCCAAGCCCCACTTTTCCTATAAACCTTGAGAATCCTGAATAGTTCCAGCCCAGCCAAAGAAGTGATCCCATTTGCAAATTGCCCCCTATTTTGTCTAGATCCCAAAGAGACTCTGATCTGGATCCCTGATGAGAAAACAGATCAGTCATAATGTTTACCAGACATCAGATAAACTGCTATTAACTATGTCAGCATTCAAAAGCATCACACACATATAGACATTCTTTTCATATGCTTATTGACCCCTCCCCACCTTCCAAAAGAGAATGATCTCACCTTTTTATAATCATTATAGTAATAGGCCATTTTCTCTTAACGTCAATGTCAGATTCAGTTTTAAGAATGAGAAAGAATAGTTTGGGCTAAACAGATGATTGTAACATTTTTTATTTCACCGGAAGAGCATGTGATCAATATGTTTACCTGATTACATTACAGCCAATTGGACACCAAGGTCTCTTTAAAAAGTAAAGCACCACCACCTTGAGTGGCTAAAACCAGGAGGTGGAGAGGGTATGTAAACATCTTTCGTAAGATACAACTGAATTTGCTCTTTGACCTTTTTGAAGTACCCTTCAGGAACTATTTCCTTAGTATTGAGAGTATTACAAGTGATAGATTCTAATTATTACTAATGGATAGGGTTTTAATTATTACTAACAGACAAGGGTCATTTCTGTTTAATGTGTGACCCACAAGTATTTGTCATCCTCAGAGAGAGACAATCATGAGGGTGAAAAACTACAAAGTATATTTAATTGCACCTCTACTTATTAACACGAGTTCCTCTGTCTACTGAACTTCCTACTAAATGACATTCATGCCAAAGAGTGAAGTCTCTCTCTATATATATCCCTTTTTTCTGCCCAGAACTTTTAGATGACTCTGCAAACCAGAAAACAATTCAGCACAAAGGCAGCTGGAGTCACGTTGGCATGTTGTGACAGAATCACACAATTGCATGGGACTCATCGCATTCTGAAAATGCCCAGATAGTGAACAGAAGAGGTAAATGGAATCAGAAATCAGAGCTGACACGGCCCAAGAGAGACCTGAAACTCGGATTCCTTCACCTATGGGGAAGTTCTCTGCTGTGGCAGGGGAGAGAGGCCACCGACAAAAAGCGCCCTCACGGCTTCTGAGAAACACCCTTGCTTTGCTCTTCCTTGGCTTCTTTGGGGTCCTGGAGACCACAACAATATCGTGCAGAAATGAAGATGGTGAAGCTGTGGATTGGTAGGTAAATGAAATGGAAGTGTAGGTACATGCAAATAGAAAGTCACTGTGAAGTTCCTAAGAAGGATCCCCCACTGCCTCTCCCCTTTAGTTTTTTAAAGATTTATTTATGCATACAAGAGCTGGGGTACAGGCCCAGAGGTGCAGAGGGTGGGGTGTGTGTGTGTGAGAGGACAGAGACAGAGTGGGAAACAAAACAGGCAGATTGACTGTAATACAAAGCTGAGGGGAGCAGTGGGTAAGACAGGAGAGTTCTGCTGTGCCATGTGGGTTTCTCCCTGACTGGCCGGGGATCGAACTTGTGCTGCAGAGGCTGTGGATTGCTTCTTAGTGTGGTGCTTAACCCCTTGCGCCCCCAGGGGGACACTTCCTATCCCCTTTAAAGAGAAAGAAGTTAGTGCATGAATGGACCGAATATCCAGATGGGGGTAAACTTCTGAGGGAGGTGGTTTCCCTCTGAGAAGGAGCTGAGCATTATCCCCCCATCCCTGGGCCTGATGCACTGCTTTTTGGTGAGGGTGTAGGGGAGGGTCAGGGCCACAACGTGGGGTAGAGCTGGCAACTTCTCTCACTTGGCAGTTTCCTTTCATTGTGTTGAGGCTTTTCTAACGAACGCTTCCGATATTCCTATGGATATTGACAAGGGGCAGAAGGAAGATTTCTTTTCATTTGACACTGGAGCTTGCACTTTCTTAAGAAAACAAGAAAACGTTTGATGGTACACACCGCTGTTTCATTAATCCATATATTAGGCAACACACAGGCAGCTGTTGGAGTGTGTGGTAGGTAACCGACATCTAAGCAGTGTCAGTCTAAATACCGGGCTGCGTAATAGTCTTGGATGCTCCTAAAGCTTTGATCACTTTCTCACGCTTTAATTAGGGTGTTTGGGTTTGCCATTAGAGTTGACATAAGCTCAGTGTAAACATCAGTCTGGCGGCCACAGATGCTCTCAATCAGTCATTTAGCAAACAGCTACTGACCACAGGCCCTGTGCAGAGTTTTGAAAATACAATATGAACAAATGATAATTCTTGCCACGAAGCTCACAGGTAGGTATTAAAAGCATAGAGGGGGTATTGGAGAGCATAGAACCCAAACGGTTTCTCTGAGGAAGTAGTTTTGAATTAAGTTTTAAGAACAATTATAAGCATTAGATAAAGAAGGAAGATGAAAGGGCCTCTCAGGCCAGTGAAGGAGCAATGAGGAGGTCCAGGGGCAGAAAGCCATGGGGGGAGTTTGGAAGCAGTTCAGTATTGCTGGTGTTTCAGGAAAATGTGAGGAAATAGCAGGTTGGTGAGCAGAGACGTAGAGACATAGGGCACAAAAGCCTTAGTGCGCTGAGTGGCAGCCCTGTGGCGGGATGAGCCTAGAGTCCTGAGACTAAGAGGCTTGCAGCATCACGGATAAGGAGAGGTGTGGGCCTGAGTTAAAGCAGCGGTAGTAGAAGCAGAAAGGAAGGAACCCTCCGAGCAGCCTTGACAATGCATGGGCTGAGGACCTAGGAGAGAGGAAGAAATCAGAGGTGTTTGGGTTGTTGGTTTTGTGACTGTGTAGGTGTGTACCCTATATAGCAGGGAACAAGTAGATTTGGAGCAAAATATTATCAACTTGGTTTCAAAAATAGGAAGGTGAAGGTCTCTGGAACATCTTTGCATTTGGGGTTCCCTCACCTTAGCTCAGCAGTCTGGGCTAGAAGTAGATATTCAGCACATAATTGGAGATGATCATACAGGAAAAATGTTTAAAAACTCTACTTTCTGCCACAGCATACTGAGAGTTCACATACCCTTGGAAGGCTGCCAGATTGCAGTTGATACACATTTTTTTTTTTTTTTTGCACAACCAAATGGACATCTGACTTAGCAATGTCAATCAGAAGGAATGCTGAGTTGAGCAGATAGGAAGACACAGTCTCAAGCTGCTGCAGCTGAGTAACAGTGAGAGTCAAAGGGCAGAGACCATCATCAGCACCGAAGAATAATTTCCCATTTCCTGCCACATGTGAGAAACTTGCCCTCCTAGAAAGCTTGGAGGGAGCAGCAAAGAGTGCAGGTATGTAGAAGTATCAGACAGAAAAGAACCAGGTGAAGAGTGTGCTTTTACGGGGACGCCACCGTGTATTAATAGTAAATGTGTGTTATTTGGTTCACTGTGAGAGTTCAAGTGTCAATGGTGGGTATTTGGAGAGGCCCACATTACTGGAGAGTATTTGGCTGGACCAGTTTTGCCTTCTAGGGTTTTGATAATGTTTGGAGACATGTGGATGATCATGACTTGGGAACACAGCAGATCCTTGAATAACATCATTCTGTTATAATGTTGATGAGGAAAAATAAATCATTTCCAGCCAGAGCCTCGGTCTGTGTAGAGTCCGCCTGTTCTTCTATGTCTGGGTGGGATTTTTCCTGGGACTCTGGTTTCCTCCCAGATCCCAAAGATGTGCACGTTAGGCTCATTGGCATGTGAGAAGTGACCCAGGCTGGGTGCGTGTGGGTGGGATCGCACCCAGCAGTAGAAGGGTATCCTGTCCATGGTGGGGTCTGCATGTGCCCTGAGCTGTCCAGACAGGCTCTAATCAACCTGAGACCCCGATCTGGAACTGGAGAATAAACGAATGAATGAATGAATACAAATTGTTTAATCATATTAGTGCTATTTAATTAAAAGTGTTTTGGGTCTTTATTACAAAGTTTGGTCATATTTTTGTGGCCAACACTATGCCATAAAAGCTTTTTATTTTATTTATTTTATTTTATTTTATTTTACATTTTGTTCATTTTTGTATAATGTTTGATTTTTCCCCTCAGGTATAATCCCCATAAAATTCCCACCCCAAATCACCTGTGAACATTCACCATAGTCTCTTGTGCTCTTCCCTCCTTTTTTTTGACCCCTCTTCCTGCCCCTCCCTTGTGATATGTCTCAGTTCTATATTTGCCTGCAAGTTTTTTTTTTTCCTGGCCCCTGGTTCAGTTTCCCTATATTACTCCTATAAGTGAAACCATCCAATATTTTTCTTTTTCCCTCTGACTTATTTCACCGAGCATAATCCCTACCAGCTCCATCTATGTTGCTGCGAATGTATGGCATAAAAGTTTAAATCTTGTTTATATCAATTAGCCTATGGTAAAATTAGTTTTGTTATATATCATTTTTAAAAGACACAGTTTTCAAGAACCTTATTAATGATGACATTAAGAACTTACTATGCTGCTGGTATCTAATAAGTAGAGGCCAGGGATCCTGCTATGCACAGAATAGTCTCCCACAACAAATAATGACGCGCTCCAAAATGTGAATAGAGCACATTGAGAACCCCTGGGTTGCACAGATGATACAAAAACACCCAAATGCTACATGGGCCCAACTGCCTGTCTTCTCAGTGAGATGCCCAAAAGAAATAAACAAACAGGAGTCTGCGGTGAAAGAAAGCAAAGTGCCTATTTAATTAGCAGCTCTTGGCTTTAATCATCAACGTAGAACATTTTGATAAACTGAGCTGGAGATTGTGGCTTAGGACAGAGGCTCAAGGGAGCCTCCACTTACCCAGGAGCCCAAATCCAGATCTCAGACCTAGCCAGCCAGCTGCAAAGAAATGAGCTAAGTACACTTCCTGGGTCTTGGCCTTCTCCCCACTGCAGCCACATGGGCAGTGGGAACACAGAGAAACCACTTTCAGTGTACCTAGACTCCCTCTGCAGGCACCCCACCTCAGCCAGAGAATGTCTTGGCACATGTCCAGCGAGATTTACATTTCCTTCTCTGGGAGGAGCAAAGGTAAGAGTGGGAAGATAGTCAGAGAGTTTCAGCTAATCCCCTTCCTTAGATTTAGAGGCCTTCTGTGAAATGTAAGTGAATAGTAAAAGTGCTTAACACAGTGGCTGCCTCTAGGGAAGCAGTAAATTTTAGTAATTCATAATGATTTCCTTTTTTAGGTTTGCCTTTTATAAGTTACCTAAAGGGCAAGACAAGAAAAGTAAAGAAACTGGGTTAGAGTACCTTTATCTAGATTCTACAACCAGAAGTTGGAGGAAGAGTAAGCAACTAATCAATACTTCCAGCAGTGTTTTGGGAAGGACATTACAACAGCTGCATGAAGCACATGCCTCCAAGGTATGTTATATTTAATCATTCATTTAATCACATAATATGCAAGAAACTGAATCAAAAACTTGCAAAAGGATTTTACATGTTCACTCACCCAACCTCCAGTTCTAGCAACTTGAAATAAACTAGCTCCGTATTAACCCATAACAACAGTCTGAATAAATGTGAGCAAAACCATAAGGAAAATGTCATCCGATTCTGGAACAATGTCTAATTGTTGGTACTTGTGGCAGAGTGTCCAATGGTATCTCTGAGCAAGTACGAAGTAATTATATCTTGAAGTCTTCCAGCTGCCAAATTCTGCCGTCATTTTGTACTTGCTTTCATATACCTCTAATGGAAATGGGGAGAAGACCCCTCTCCTGTTACAGGCAATATAGGTCTAGAATTGTTATGCCAGGAGCTGTCTTATTTGTGCCATGGTGATGATGAGTAGTGGTGACCCAAGTAAAAGAATCCCAGCCAGTCTTCCTCTCAATAAATCACTTTCAGAATGGTAGGCTGAGCTAAGGGTTATAGTTCAAGGTCCTAGACTGAGAGTAACCTGCTACGTGGACTTCATCAGGCAGTGAGCTAACCAGTCAAAGAGCCACAGGTAAACATGCCTGCTGGTGCAATGTGGGCTATCTTCCAGTGTTCCAAACACTACCTGCTGTTCAGTGACTACTGCTTTCCAACCAAAGAAGACAAGTGAAATTTAACAATAATTAACATCCTCGTGTATGCATTTCCTAACAATAAACTTACAGAACAGTAAATATATAAAAAGGACTCAGCACTTGCATTGTACTGGACCTTTATATATGTCAACTAATCTCATGCCCACAACAATTCTTTATTAAGCTCTAGCTCCGCTGCACATGTTTATCTGAGTATTTACTCAAAATGTGTAGGAAGTTGTCACTGTGCGTGGTAATAGTCACTTTATTCACGAGCCATTAAAGCCAAACTTCAGAGCTAATGTACAAAGTCAAAAGTTATTTGTATGCTGTCTGAGTACATGTGATGGGCCAAGCACTGTTCCAGGTGCTTTTAAAAATTACTTAATCTCAGTAACCACCCTGTTTTGGATAAATAGATTTATTGTGTAAAATCGAAAGTGCCTGCAGCTGCTTCTGCTTTCCAAAGTTGGGGATGGGAGACTAGGAGCAAAAAGCCAGCAGTGGGAAAATAAACACTGACATCTTTCCCTTCCGGACCACAGAGAAAGTGGGGGAGGGAAAAGGAAAGAGCAGTATTGTAAAATCTCTGTCCTTTACCTCAGCTGGAGCAGATGGTTTAGTTTGGCAGTATATAATAATGATCTTTATGACTGCAAAATCAGCCCCGGAGCCTAGGAAAGAGGGAGAGGTAAACTGCTCTGCAAAATAAAAGGGGATAGTTGGGAGCTAGGAATAAAAATGTGTAAGAAAGTTGATTGGGGGCAGGGCAGTGTGGTGATTTAAAATCAGTCAATGTTTCAGACCTTCCATAAAATCAGCTCACACACAATGACTTGAGTGATGGATTCTGGGAAGAAAATAACAGCAAAGGGGCTGGTTTCCATGTCTGATTGGCATGGAACCAGAAAAAGAAGAGCAACAATAGTGGGTGATATCCAGGTGAGATTGAGTGTTCTTTGGAAGCTGGAACTAGGTGCCAGGAGTGACCGTGAGAACATAATTCCCCCATCTCCTGACCTGGAGTTGAACTTCTAACGCAGAATAAAATGCAAGATCAGAACAAGTGGTTTTAAATCTCAATTGTCAAGGTGACCTAGGTCAATTTATCTGGGTTACATTTGGAGTAATTTCCCTTCTTTGCCTTTGCAAACAAGAACCTTCCTTCTACCTTCATACTAGCACTTCTATTATATTGCAGTTATTTGTCCTTGTCTGTCTATTTTTGCTGCTAGACTCCAGGTAAAGACTTCTCTAGTTCAGTATGCAGTAATCAAACTATACCAAACACATGTGTTAAGGGAATTGAGCTGTCAAGGAGCACGCACATAGGTTTACCTATTTTTAAGTCCGTGATCTTTCCCTTTTATCAGAGAGCCTCACTTCATTGAGGTTGCAGCCTATTTAATTCTAGCTAGCTGGTATAACCCTGGTTAGTCATCAATTATAGGAATAAAGCTCCTTACTGAATTTTCCCAGAGTTCTTCCACTATGCACCCCAAAAGCACACAATGGCATCGTTACCACCCTCAAGGTAGGCTCATAGAAAAACTTTCTGAGTTCTCCAGAGGAGGATATGAATGCCAATGGTAGCTGTGGTCCATTATGGAAAATGAGAATAAGAAAACAGCTTATTTTCTTGCATATTGCTAGGCATAGTAGTAAAAGATCCTTACAGACTATGTTGTACATCTTTTTAAAGTTTTTTTATATTAGCTCAAATAACTAAGGTACTGTAAGAGAACTCAGTTATTGACTTCTTTTTCTGAGAAAAAGGGACCCTTTAAAAATAGATGGGTGGAACTTTCCTGCTTTTAATTATGTCGCTGAGATCTAAGTATCGACACTACTGGATTCAATAAAAGTCACTGTATCATGACTCGAAGGAAATGAAACTACACAGAGCAAATATAAGCAAGTTTCCAAAACATGACACAGAGATACTGTAAGAACTTCATTTTCACTCAGAGATTTGAACTACTGTTTGGAGAATTTACTCCTATTTTGCCTCAGCAGAAGAAATCCAAATCACACCTTTGGTTTCACCACTTTTCCTAGGCAGTAAAATATCAAGTTAGAAAGGTGAAGTGACACGGAGAAATAGATTGAAGAAAAATCCTCCCCTATCAGGGAGCTAGGGGGAGCAGAAAATGAGGGATCCTGATTAAACACAGCTCTCTGACCACATTGTGAAGCACATGTATGCAGAGAAGTCAGTTTGACAGCGGGGTCTGCACTGTGCTTATACTATCAATGGTGGGGGGCGGGGGGAAGTACAGTCGTATCTGGCTGTTCCTTCATTTCCTGAGCAAATATTTAAGTACTCCTTTATTATACACTGGTTGCTAAGCCAGAAACATGGCTATGAAACAACCAAGAGAGATAGTTTATCCCCCTCACACACACATCACAATGCACAGGGCTCCTGTCACACAAGACAAAACCATGCATGATTGAGATTGGACCTCCTGTCCTAGGTCTTGCGTGCCACAGAATTCATATTGATGGGAAAGCTGCCTATTAGGGGAATGGATGGCTTCTCATGTGTGTTAATGAAAGCTCTGTATTGCGGACTGGGTAGCTGGTAGAGATGTTGTGAGCATTTGTGAGCAGATGATTTATGCCCTTATAACCCTAATATGTTCCTGCAGAATAACAATACTGCCTATCTAATATACAATGATGGAGTCCCTAAATCTGTGAATTACAGTACAAAATATGGACACACCAAAGGTATGTCAAAGGCTCTTCGTTTCTCTTTCCTATGGAAATTAGCATTTTCTAAAACATGCTATCCTAAATGTTCTTACAGTTCATGCTAAAAAGATAGCTTTTCTCTTTATTTTTAGTTATCAAAATGCATGATTTCTATTACCTCAGATTATAATTATACAATTTGACCTGGCAATCTCCTTTTCACAAATCCCACTTTATTTCTTAACATTGGTTAGTACGTGCTTTATAGTAAAATCCATGTACTGACTACTGGAATATCAGCCAGTGTGTAGTTGTGTGTATCTGTGTGTGTGTGAAAACACACATATTTTAGTCACAATTATTGAGGTATAGTTTATATAAAAATCCACTCTTTATATATATAAATGTATATAAATATTTTTAAATATATTTACATATATAGTTCCATCTGAAATAAATGTTTTTGAAAAGGTATTTTAAAATATTTGCATGGTATAAAATTTTAGTTACATATTTTGTTATATAATGCTATTATATATTATAGTGATTTTTGTTCTGTAACTTTAAGTTTTCTGTTTGTAAACTATGAATGTGTATGTGTTATAGGAAAATTTAAAATGCCAGAAAGCAAAAAAATTTGCAATCCATATTAGATGGGCACATTTAATCCTTTCTACTTTCCTATACTATATATTGTAAAACATTTTTTTAAGACTACTATGACTGGCCATGGCAACAACTTTCTTCAGAAATTTCTAAACTAAAATACTTTCAAGGCCAGGCAAGTGATGCCAGCATGCAAAATGGGCTGAATTAGCAGCTACCTGGAGAGGTGGAGAACACATGCCTAACTGGAGGGGCAGTTACTACTCAGCTTGCCTCATACAGATGCGATTTTTCAGATGTTGAAAAAGAGCATTTGTGGGAAATCTTGCCAGTTTTTGAAAGTTGGCAGTGAGTTCAAAGCTTTAAAAATGCAAGCCTTGTAATATGTTTCTGCAGGTTAGATTTGACCTGGGATTGCCAGTTTGCAACCTCTGATTAAGAAAATTATTTGTAATGACTGTCAAATGTCATGAGCATTGAAAGCTTTTGATGTAGCTCCGTTGCCTGCTTGGTGGTCCTATTTACATGGAATCTGACAAATTTTATAACAGCACATTCTCCAGCTCCTCCACCACCACTCTCTCTCTACCCTGTTAGTTGCTACAAAGGTTTAGGGGAAATAAAGACTGGAAAGAGTGGAACTTGATGTCTAGTGGGGAAGTTCTCTTTGCCAGTCGGTGCCCTTGACATCCTAAGGCATTCACACCAGGAAGCTGAGATTTCAAACAAATAGCACATTCATCTGAGCAGACGAGAGCCCTGAAGGTCATTCATCTCTGTTAGGCAATAGAACTTTGAACATTTTCCCTCCCCCTACAGACATTAATTCTATATCCATTGAGAGAACAATCATGTGCTTACTTAAGGTGTGTTCTTTGAAAGAGAAGTAGCTGGCAGGCATTTGGTTTCTCCTGATCAGTAAGGCAAATATGGATGAGTTTTATGTTTGCAGAGTCAAAAGCAAACTGGAAAGTCTAGTTAACATACCAAAACTCTCCTGATATATTTATAAACATAGGAATAGTCATAAATGTGTATTAGGGTTCTTTTTGCCATGTCAAAGATGATGAAAATCTTTCTGTTTTCTTCCTTTCTGGCTTTCATGTTATTTTATTCTAGAGATTTTTACTGAACACAATCAACCAGGGGGGTTTAGAATGGCTTCCCTTTTTTTCTCTTTGCCTCTTTTTGAGGAACTTGTGGAATTGGGTGACTTTCCTACAAATAAATGAGCGTCTTTTTTTGCAAATCTTTACTGCAAATATGTGTCTTCATTTGATATTTTCTCTTTCAACTCTGTTTTTCAGCCAGCTTTTGAAAATAGCTTAGCTGCTTAGCACTGAAGACATTATTTGAAGCTTGCCTGGTAACTATGTAGTTTAACAAGGTCAAATTCCAATTTAGCAAATTTGCATCTGCCACACAAATTTTCCATGTAGTTTCAACAAGAAATTCCTTTTAACTCTTCACAGGGTAGCTGCCCTGGCTCCCATTCTGAGGTGGCTTGTTATCAGTAATGGGGCACTGTGATGCGTACCCAACTTGGTTTTGAAATCTTTGAAGAATGAGCATGACCCTTGTGATTACCAGCCTAATAAAACATTAGCCTGAAGTATAAATGGGTTGAATGTTGCAGCTTTGTATTTTTATTTAAAAAAAATACAAGAAGTTTTGTATTTAAAAAAAGCTTTGTTTTTCTAATTTATCTATGTTAACTGTATCTTTGGTAGGTTTTCTGCTGTGGAACAGAGTACAGGGGTTCTGGCTGATTCATTCTATTCCCGGGTTTCCTCCAATTCCTGAAGAAGGCTATGATTATCCACCCACAGGGAGACGAAATGGACAAACTGGCATCTGCGTAACTTTCAAGTACAATCAGTATGAAAAAATAGGTAACACTAAAATGTATGAGAGAGAAAGAGACATAGAGAGCCATGTTGAAAAAGGAATTTGGAAATACATCAATAAATTCTTTATTTCATTTGTTTTTCTGTTCCTAGATCCTCTGATACCTAGATAAATAATACTGACTGTGCCATAGTGAGACCTTGGGCCACTTAGTAAACCCTGATTTACTGATCCTTCACTGAAATCTTGAATTTAATTAGGGACAGGAGTTTTGAATGTCTACAGGGAAAAGGCCGGTAACAAATAAGTGACACAGCTAGACAGACATGTCTTGGGCAGTGGAAAGAGTGACAAGTAGGGTGCTGGCTCTACCATTGCTTCCCTCAAAGTCCTCAACTCCATTATGCTGTGGCTCTGCAGGAATGCAGATTACAGATCTCCATATTGTTTAAGAAAAAACAGAAACCTAGTAGGGTTGTATGTGTGTGAGAGAGATACAGAGTCAGATGGAGACAGAGAGATCCTGATTTTTAAATATGGTCTTAATCCTATTTATAAAAAAAATTGTGCAGACCACATGTTGCCTGCAGGCCGCAACCTGACACCTCTGAGCCAAGTGATCTTCCTTTAAAATCTTCAACTCAAGGACCTCCCTGGTGGCTCAGGGATTAGGCTCAGCGCTGTCACCTGTCACCGCCACAGCCTGACTTCTATCCGGCCAAGGAGCTGACCCACATGGAGCAGCAGACCTCTCCTGCCTTGCCCGCTGTTCCCCTCAGCGGTGTATTTCAGTAGATCTGCCTGTTCTGCTCCCCACTCTGTCTCTGGTGAATCCTCTCACCCCTCACACCTTTGGCCTACATCCTAGTTTTTGGATGTATAAATAAAAATAAATCTTTAAAAAAAAATAAAATCTTCAGCTCAAATGGCCAAAAATCCCCTCGGGTTTGGAAGGTACAGTAGGGAGGAGAGGTAGCAACACTATTTTACCATCACTTTGTACTGAGGAGACTGCTAAATAGAAGTGAAGAATCACTTGCCTCTAGATATAGGATGCTTAGAAAATGTTTTCATCAAACTTTCATCTTATGTCAAGAATTACCAAACCTCCTGCCCAAGAATAAGCTCTAGTCTATAGTCGAAGTAGCTGAGTTCACGTGGTGATTACAAGGATGAATAGCATAGAGATTTGATGGACAAACTGATGAGCTGATCATTTTTTGGAGCTGGATGATTGACACAGATAGTTTTCTACTTTTGTATGTGTGTGTATGGGAGAAAAAAACATATGACCTCATTCCAAAGTGAGTTGGAATGTCAAGTTTTATAACCTTGGACATGTGATGTAAATTCTCCACTAATTCATCTGTAAGGTAAAGAAATTGATAAAAGAAGAACTTACAGAATTATATAGTTGCTATGCAATTAAATTATAACTTACTATAAATTAAACTATATTGTGAGCATAAACTTGCAGAAAAATGCCTGGGAAGCAGAAAGTGCTCAATAGGTGTCAGCTGTTTTAAACAAAGTTATTTGTCGACTATGGACTTAAAAAAAAAAAAATACTGGCTTTTATTTTGTTTGTTTTGATTAATTACAAGATCTATATCATTTATAAGTATGTCCATTTTTGTCTTAACGCCCAACTTTTTATTCTCTTGATTCAGATTCACAGCTCTTAGTCTGCAACCCAAGTATTTATAGCTGTTCCATCCCAGCCACCTTCCACCAGGAGCTCGTCCACATGCCCCAGCTGTGTGCCAGGTCTCACCCACCAACCTTCCCTGGCCGGAGCCTTGTGACACTTTGGTCAGCCAGGGGACAAAAATTTCTCCATTTTGCAAAGCCTACCTCTTATCGTGACGGTATGCAAAACCATCCCCAAACAATAAGCTATATAACTCTGCTGTTTGAATCACTTTGGATTGCTTAGGGAAAATATTCTTATTATTCAAGGCAAGAATAAAAATGGGGGGAAGAAAGGAGGAGGAAAAGGAGAAGGAAAGACAAGGATGAAGCTAAACATCTGACTACTCCACATGAAGAACAGAGGTGCTAATCCAACAAGGACCTCTCACAACCATCCATCCAGGGCCTAGTAAAATCAGTCTTCAGCTTCTGTTGGGCTTTGGGCCACAGATGTCTCCCTTTCTTCCATTCCATTAGTTACTTTAAGCCTTCCTTACTCTCATGTCCTTTACATCACCCTGCCTCCTCAGAGCCAACTGCACTTTTTTCCTTCATAGATAGAACAGTGATTCCCCAAGGAAAAGCCACTTCAATAGTGCACCACATTCTGGCAACAATCTCACTGTTTCCATTCCTTTTTGCTAGTTTCCTCCGTTCCCAACAGAAGCTGAAGAATGACTTGCCTCTAGATATAGGTTGTGCCCTGAAGCTTATCTCACCCCTCAGGATACTTGGAGTCATCTGCTTTATGGATCTGTTCTCCCTCTTCTACTTACCTTCATTTCCCTCTCCACAAGCTTTGTCTCCTTACTACACATGCCTAAGAGCCCTCCCTCAATCTCAAATCATCTATATCTTTGTTTTTACCTTCTTCTAAATTTCTTTTAAAATAATCTTCATGGCGTAGCATGCTGCTCCCCTCAGCAGTGTATTTCAATCACTCTGCCTGTTCTGTTTCCCACTCTGTCTCTGGCGAATCCTCTCACCCCCCCCCTCCAACACCTCTGGTCTGTACCCCAGTTCTTGCATGCATAAATAAATAAATCTTTAAAAAAAAAATCTTCAGGAATTCCACTTGCTCAGTGCTCCTCACTGTAGTCTTACCGGTCTGCAGACACTGTCAACTCTCCCCAGTTACTAATGACTGTCTTAGTTGACCTCAACGACTTCCTTCCTTACTTGTTTCCTTCCATCCTTTATAGACTGAAAAAAATGTACTGATTGCCTACTAACTTTCCATGTCCTGTGTTAGGGCATGTTAGGGATCCCAAAATTAACAGGACAGAAATATTATCTGCAGAATTTGGCACTGTTGAAACACTTTCCATCCTAAAACATTCTCTGTTACTATTTTGTGGGAATGTAGAGAGCTTGGTCTTCCTCCTACCTCTTTTAAGTCTCTTCTGCCAGATCCTCCTCCTCTGCCTACTCCCTGGGTAATTGAATTGCAGTGCTGTCCTCTATTTCTAGTTGGAGGTTGTACAGCCACACCAAATTCAACATGCCAAACATTGGGCCTCCCCTGGTGGCGCAGGCGGTTGAGCGCAGTGCTGTGAAGCTGTCCGCAGCCTCTGCAGCACCAGTTTGATCCCAACCGGCCAGGGAGGGTCCTACATGGGGCAGCAGACCTCTCCTGTCTCACCCACTGGTCCCCTCAGCAGTGTATTTCGTCAGTCTATCAGTCTGCTGTTCTGTTCCCCGCTGTCTCTGGTGAATCCTCTCGCCCTCCTGTGCATCTGGCCTGTACTCTGTTCTTGTATAAAATAAAAAAATAAATCTTTAAAAAAAAACCAGAAAAACAAACATGCCAAACACATCTCATCATAATCCCCCACAAATGTACTCTTTTTTCTGATATTTTGCATAGTCTCCAGAGACTTTACATCCCTCCTTTTTCTCACCTCGCTATTAAATCAACACATTCAATCAGCCCTAGGTCCTTAATAACTCTCACATTTGTCTTATTTTCTCTAAACTTTCGCCATCACCAGTTTTTACCTGCGTTTATCATTAGTTTTTGTAAAAACCTGTTTTCCCTCTCTCTTAACTACAACACCCTTTTAAATCCATCCTTCACAGTGCTTCTTAATTGATATGTATGATTACAAACCAATTTCTATTAATTTCCCACTAAAACTCCTTAAAGAATTCCCCACTGAGGGCTTCCTTGGTGGCACAGGGGGTTAAGCACAGCACTGTGAAGATGTCCAAAAGACTCTGCAGCACAAGTTCGATCCCCGGCCAGCCAGGGAGATACCCATATGGCACAGCAGACCTCTCCTGTCTCGCCCACTGCTCTCCTCAGCAGTGTATTTCAGTCAGTCTGCATGTTCTGCTCCCCACTCTGTCTCTGGTGAATCCTCTAACCTCTCCCCACACACGCACCGCTGAGCTGTACCCCAGTTCTTGTATACACAAATAAATAAAATCTTTAAAAAAAAAGAAATCCCCTTTGATTTTAGGAAAATCCAAACATTTAGCATGGTCTACAAAGATCCCCAAGAGGTAGCCCCTGATGACATCTGTAAACTTAATTCTCTCCAAAGTTCTTTTCAGGTCTTTTGCTCTTATTGCCTGTGTGGAACAGAAGATATTTCAGACACTAATATCATCATAGTAATGATGATAATAACTTTTATTTGCATATCACCTTAGTGTTTACAAAATGTTCTCCCATTCACTATCTCAATTATGTTCTTATTAATGTGTGCATGACATCCACATATCAGCAGTTAATGATTTCCATTCCAGAGGATATTTTCAGAGACTTATCTAAGTATAAATACTAAACTTACTATATTTCTTCTTATAAACTCTAGACATCTTTGCAGCCTGGATGGCTCAGTGGTTGAAGACACACTTGTTAACAGAAACCTGGCAGCGGAAGAGACAAGAGCTTCCTTCAAACTGCTCCCTTCCTTACCATGTCTACAATGTCAAAGCAATTAAGGTATCAGGACAATCTTATTTCAGGTCTTCTCAGGATCATGCCAAATGGTGTGTTTCCAAAAAGGGCGCCAAAAATCGCTGGACATGTATTGGAGACCTAAATCGGAGTCCATACCAAGGCTTCAGAAGTGGAGGGTTCATCTGTACCCAGAATCAGCATATTTACCAAGCATTTCAAGGGTTAGTTTTGTATTATGAGAACTGTGACTAAAGTCATTGAAAGGACATACATACTGTCCTTTTGAACACCGATAATGGTCTTCTTCCATTAGATCTGTTCTCTATATATTAAAAAAATGTGACTGCCTATAGTCCACATATCAGATAAAGCACTTTTCTCCCATGTTTACAATTTCATCTTTCAACTTTTGCAATTTGTCTACTTTGCATTTATAGGTCATGTACACTGACTATTACATATAACTAAAATGAGAATCGAAGGAATAAAAGGACAAATATTTGTTCCAAATTAGTCAACTCTCAGTTATTCATAGATTGACTGACCATCTTGTAGATTCAATTTCATCTCCTTCATAAAGACTTTCCTTACTCTTCTCCCCACATAATATTTTTAAAGAAAAAACAGTTCTCTGTCCTTTTACTTCATACTAGTTTGTCATTTTCATCTTAAAGTTTTTTCCACTGGTTTTTTCTCCTGGTATTCATGCAGCTGCCACTTACAAATTGTATTGTCTTGGGCCATTCACTTGAACTCTCTGAGCCTTGGTTTTTTAACCTATGAAATGCAGGTACTGAAACAGAAACTGACACAGAATTAACAATGAAAATACTGGTGGAATTTGAATCTGAATTCCTCTACCCATGTGATAAAACAAAAGAAAGTTTACCAATAAGTAATATTTTAAAAAATATATATGAGTCATTTTAGGAGAAAGGAAAAAAAACTAGTCCATTAACTTGGAAGAAATAAAAAAGTACAATATAAAGAAAACAAATTGAATTGAATCATATTAATTCCAGTTTATTTCATTTTCTGGAGTTCTTATCACTAACACTAAGCACAACTATTATACAAATGAATGACAACAAATCTGTATTAAGTACTAATTGCTTAACAAAGTCTGAAGTATGATTCCCAATTTCAAAAAGTTTACAATTTAACAAAAGTAATCACAACAGACAGTAACTAGAAGTAGCTCCTATATTGAGTATTTACTTCACAGGAAACAGTCAACGCATTTTCCTTTTTTTTTTTAAGATTTATTTATTTATGCATACAAGAACTGGGGTGTAAGCCAGAGGTGTGGAGTGGGGGGTGGTGAGAGGATTCACCCAACAGAGTGGGGAGCAGAACAGGCACATCTACTGAAATACACTGCTGAAGGGAGCAGTGGGCGAGACAAGAGAGGTCTGCCATGTCATGTGGGTTGCTCCCTGGCCGGCCAGGGATCGAACTCATGCTGCTGTGGCTGGCGATAGCTTGATAGCGCTGTCTTTAACCCCTAAGCCACCAGGGAGGCCCCCACATTTCCTTTTTTAATCTTCACAGCAGTGTTTAATCTTCATAACAAAATGGGTTGTCTTTGTTATGAAGCAACTGTTACTGTCCTCATTTTATTGATAAGGAAACTGAAGCTAGCAGATTTCCCATAATTTTCCCAATAACACAGAGTTTTATATAACCTCTATGAGTATGCTCTTAACTTCTATTCCAAAGAATCTCCCACCTCATTATGGATGATGACACCTGCAAACTGTCAACCATCTTCATGAACTTCCATTTTTGTGCTTTTAAATTTGCTTAGTTCTTTCCTTACTGCTGCCTTAATTTCAGGTGTCAACCTGCCTTAGATACTCTCTTTTCTCTTTAATTGAAATAATATTTGTTTACAACTTTGGATGGATTCCAAGAATACATTTTCTTACTATCTTTGCCACCAAATATCCATTCACCACCCACCACCAACCAATCGGCATCTTCTACCAATCCCCTCCCTGCTTCGTCCTCTCTGGTAACCACCATTCTTTTGTCAGAGTCAAAAGAGATTTTGTTTTCTTCGCATCCCACAAATTAATGAAATAATACAGTATCTAGCCTTCTCCTTCTGACTTATTTCACTTCACATAATTCCCTCACTGTTGACACAGTGGACAAGGGCTGTTTTTGCTCCACATCCCTGTCAACATTTATTATTTCTTGACTTGTGGATAAAAGCCATTCAAACCAGCATGAAGTAAAATCTCATTATGACTTTGATTTTCATTTCTCTAATGATCAGTGATGAAGAACATCATTCCATATGACTGTTGGCCATCTGTATATCTTCTTTGGTGAAATGCCTTTTTAAATCTTCTTCCCATTTTTTAATTGAATTGTATATTTTCTTGTTGTTGAGTTGTGCAAGTTGTTTATATATTTTGGATATTAACCCTTTGTCTGATTCATGGTTTGCAAACATCTCCCCTTGGGTAGGCTTTTAGTCCAATGATTGTTTCTTTCTCTGTATGGAGCTTCTAAGTTTGATGTAGCTTCATTTGTTTATATTTTCTTTTGTTTCTCTTGCTGTTGCAGATGAATCCACAAAAACATCACTAAGGCCAATGTCAAAGAGCTTGTTACCTTTGTTCTCTTCTATGTATTTTATGATTTCAAGTCTTATACTCAAGTCATTGATTCATTTTGAGTTGATTTTAGTATATAGTGTAAGATAGTGGGTTAGTTTCATTATTTTACATGTACCTAGTACCCAGTACTGGTACCCTAGTACCCAGTACCAGCCATTAAAAGGACTTTACTTCCTTCATTGTATGCTCTTGGCACATTTGTCATAAATTAGTTGCCCATGTATACATATGGTTTAATTTCTGAGCCAATGAATCTATTCTATTTATCTGTGTGCCTGTTTTTATTCTCATTACATACTGTCTTGATTACTGTATCATGGCAGAAGATTCTTAAAGGAATGCAGTTCAAGATAAGATGTTAAAAAGTCATTAAAAGTGAAACTCTGACTATGTAATTTCTCCATGATGGAGAAAAGAGAAATGGTGTAGAGAAATGTGACTATACAACCTACTTTCTCACAAGGTCATATATAATTTAGGTGCAAATGAAAGATGGGAGGTTAAGAAGATTAATAAACAAAGAAGAATAGAAGAATGGCACTAGCCTGTATGCAAAGATATATGAACCTGCAATGACTACTTACTGCAAAGTTTGGCAAAAATGTTTAAAAAAAAAGATTTAAAAAATCCAGTTTATTGTTGGATTAAGATTACATTGGAAATAATAGTAATCTGTAAATGCCCAAAACAATCTTTGTTACTCTTATTTCTCTTTTCAGTAAAGATGAATGGTATTGAAACAAAGAAGGTAAAAAGAAATGGTTAGAGAGAACTAAATCAAAACTTCTGCAAAGCAATTTTAGAAGAGAACACAACTACCTACAATGAGTTGATATTTCCATGTCCAATCAATGACAGTGAAATGTACTGAAATATCAGAAATCTTAAAGAAAGCAGGAGAGATAGATAAACACAACTTTACTATTCAAAACTGAATAGAATGTGTTATCTACTTTACAGGACTCTAGGTCCCATCCAGAAGTTTCATTGAGATGCGTGGTCCAAACCAAAAGGTCTTTGGATACTTTGGACTGGACCAAATGTCTTCTATCCATGATCTCAAATGTCATCCCCAGTATATATGACCTTCACATAGCTCTTTAATGAATCAGATTGTAAGCACTGAGAAAACAATCAGATAATCTTCAGGCATCAGTGTGAAGTAGGTTCTCCCTATAATTCAGGCATCTATTTCTGACTACCTCATCTTTTTTTTGACAAGAGTTACAATACTGAAGAATTCTAGTATTCATAGTGTCCTTGGGCCACAACAAATCAAAGGTCTCTTGGGCCTCCCCTGGTGGTGCAGAGGTTGAGTGCTGGGCTGCTAGGCTACCCGCAGCCTCTGCAGAGCCAGTTTGTTCCCTGGCCACCGGTGAGGGTCCCACAAAAAAAAAAAAAGTTCTCTTGATATCCTCACAGTCAAGACAGTAACACTGGGTAAATGTAAGTACAGCCCAATGAACTTACACGTTATTCAAAGGGTATGAAAGAGGATCTGTGCCAATTTTATTGTTTATTTCTTTGTGTGTAGAAGAATTGGGGTGTAGGCCAGAGGTGTGGAGGTGAGAGAATTCAACAGACAGAACTGGGAGCAGAACAGGCAGATTTACTGAAAAACACTGCTGAGGGGAGCAGCAGGCAAGAAAACATTTGTTTCTAATTTAATTCATTAACATACTCTGTACCAGACACTGATGTAGAAAATGAACAATGAACAAGATGGATAATTTAAGCCCTGATAGATTTTATATCAATACTTCAGTCTGTTCTCCCCTATAAACACTTTTAGATAATTGATGAATATTCAGAAAAATATATTTATTAAATTTGTATATGACAAGCAGGTAAAAGAAATAGCAGATTTGGCAGATGATGGAATTAACTTCCCAAGGGATCTTGAAAAGCTGGTATAATGGGGTAAACCAAAACATACTAAATATAATAGAAATAAGCATAAGAATATACTCTTGAAGCCTCCCCCTCAAAACCAGTAACAACAAAACCCCACAATGTCCATCAGAGAGGTACATGTTGAAGAGAAATACAGTTACAGATTAGTAACAGACAATGTAGAAAATTATCCAGGGCTTTTGGCATAAAATTAATATGACTAAATAATGTGATTGACTGAAAAGAGAAGCAGCAGCTAACACAATCTTGAGATACATGAATAAAACATATATTAGAAAGAGTATGGAAGTATGGGCCTCCCCGGTGGTGCAGCGGTTGAGCGCTGGGTTGTGAAGCTGCCCGCGGCCTCTGCGGCGCCGGTTCAAATCCCGGCTGCTCGCCGGCCACTGGAGGAGGGTCCCACATGGCGCGCAGACCTCTCCTGCCGCCCGCTGCTCCCCCCAGCAGTGTACTTCGGTCCTTCTGCCTGCTCTGCTCCCCGCTCTGGCTCTGGTGAATTCTCTCACCCTCCCTGTTCTGACTGTACCCAGTGCTTGTATAAATAAATAAATAAATCTTAAAAAAAAAAAAAAAGAAAGAGTATGGAAGTAGACATAGCCTACCCTGTGTTAGCAGCCTAAGGTCAATGTTATGAAGAATGCAAGAAGAGTGTAAGAATGGCAATTGATTATCACTTGTTCTCTTGTTCAGATTCCTTTGTGACCAAGTCCAGCAGTGGCTGGTTGATCATGGTCAGGTGGAAAAGATGTCTTCTGTTGTAGACAGAAAGCATCTGTGATCCATGTGGCAGTTCCCTTTATTAGAATCATGCTTCAGGGCCTCCCCGGTGGCGCAGCGGTAGAGCGCTGGGTTGCAAAGCTGCCCACGGCCTCGGCGGCGCCTGTTCCATCCCCGGCTGCTCCCCGGCCACCGGAGGAGGGTCCCACATGGCGCGCAGACCTCTCCTGCCGCCCGCTGCTCCCCTCAGCAGTGTGCTTCGGTCCTTCTGCCTGCTCTGCTCCCCGCTCTGGCTCTGGTGAATTCTCTTACCCTCCCGCGCTTCTGACTGTACCCAGTGCATGTATAAACAAAACAAACAAACAAGCAAACA